GATAAATCATATAGAAAACCTTAATTCAAAGAAAAGTAAAAAAATGAGTAATTATTGTTTATTTCATGGAAAAGCCTGACTTTTCTTCCCTTTCGCGTATCTGAATAAAATTCAATCCAATGTAATCTAAAGCAGAAATTCCATTTAATTAAACTAATTTAAATCATTTTCATACACGCGAAAGAAATTCCCCGACACTACCCGATGTAAAAAATGAAATACACCTATGTCGGGTATATATACACATATATGTAATAATAAAATTCCATAGTCAGAATACACTTAAAATTCTAACTGTATGTTCTTTTCATTTTTTAATGGCGACGTTCTCTTATTTGGAGAACGTCGTGGAATATTATTACGTGGAATTAAATCCACAGCCCCGTAGTCAAGTTGTTTTTTCCGCCTTTTCTACACGTACAGGTATAGAATGTTCTGGAGATATTTAAAGCGAACTGGAATGGCTGACGAGGCTGACGTCATTTCTTGGAAGCTCCGCCTTTCCAGAGGCTATAAAAGGACTCGCAAAGGAATATCGGAGTCTTCTCTTTAACGTAACGATGCAGTAAACTTCACACAAAAAGTTATTAGTAATTCTTTTTTATTTACTCCAAAGAACTGATTTTTTGTAAGTGTTATTTCTCCTGAATAATAATAAATGGATCCTGTTTTTTTTTTTTTTTTTTAACTTATCGTCTGATAATTTAAGCTACGACTAAAGCTGGTACATCACATATATATGTACATATATATATAAACCATTTAAAAGTTTATACTGAGCTAATATGATTAAAAGCGAAGGTGTCGGGGGACATTTTTCTCAAGTAAGAAACTACAACTCTTACACAAATATATCACGATTTTAAAATTTATTTTAAAACTTGACGGAATACCCACTCTTTTTTACTTAATTCTAAACAGCGTTTTTACTTCAATTCATCTCACTTAAACTCTACTTACTTAGTTTAAACTTATCTTACTAAAATGCTTTTTTGGCACAATAATTCTTACTTGAGAAAAAACGGAACACCTTTGCATTTATAAATTATTGTTAATTGATCGGAAGTTGGTTTGTTCCCCTCTAAAAGTCAACTATTTTCCAGTCAATGGCGATAATTACTTGGCTTATTGATTACTTTTAATTATACCTTCTTAAAAGTTTCCATTTTCAATTTATTCAAGATTCATTTCTGATGTTTCCGTTGTAAAATTGTTTTCAAGATTCAGTTTTTAAATATGCTTATACGTTATTTCATTTCAATATAATTCTAACTACCTTTATCAAAGGAGATAATATACTAAATAATACATTAGTAAATATATATGTGTAATAATTTTACTGCATAGTCGTGATGGCAGAGTGTCAAAACGAGACAAAGATGACGAAACTGGATTCCAAAAAACCACTAATCTTTATTTTCCCACATATCCAATTAGTTTGATAGACATTTATTCAATCATAATTAAATGGGATAAATTGCTAAGTATATTGGTTTTAAAAGAAATGACGTAGGCATTTGAGAAGGGAAGCGGGAATATCAGAGCAGCACTTAGGGAAAGGAATGGAATGACTTACACAAAATTTACACAAAATTACACAAAATTTCGGGTTACTTATTGTGCCAAGTATATATAACAAGTCTGACGTATAAGCACAGCTAATCTGTGATTGGTTAATTTTAGGTTGTTACATAACATAGAAGGAATTTCTGGTTACTTATTGTGCCAAGTATATATACCAAGTCTGACGTATAAGCACAGCTAATCTGTGATTGGTTAATTTTAGGTTGTTACATAACATAGAAGGATCTCGAATTTAGGAGAACAGATGAATTTAGGGGGAGAATCTAGAATAGTTAATTTTGAAATTGCCAACTATTTTTAAATCAGCTGTCGTATTTTGTTATATCTTACACACACATATATATATAATTATAAAACATTTTTTAAGGGGACTCGTACACCTTAAAACCCATAAGATCTTCGAATATGTGACTGTTGCAAGAATTGGGATACCTTATTTACCGTATATACTCGCGTATAAGTCGATACCGCGTATAAGTCGCCCCCCCCACTTCGACATAAAAAATTCGTAGAAAATAAGAAACCCGCGTATAAGTCGATCCCCCACTTCCGAAATCGATCGAGAAACTTCGAAAAAAAATTTTTAAGTACTACATTTATTCAAAATCATCTGAGAAAAAAAAGTAAATATACGATAAAAAATACATTGGTAAATAAACAAAATTAAAATGCTTCAACGTCCGATTCATGGTCAGATTCGCCAAACATTTCATAGAACTCTTCTGTCGTCATTGGCTCGGCATCATACATATTTTCAGTCTCGAACTCTGTATTGTTACAATCACTACTACAGCGTATTGCGTATTGAGAATATGGCAAAGCACACTAGGGCTATCTGCCTAAGGGGATGGATGCCTTCATGGAGGACTTTCTAAGGGAAACTGGCTCGTATACACGTTACACATGGGGAAAACCACGAAAACGCCCATGCAGCTAGCCCGTTCGCGGGATTCGAACCTCGGACCGAACTACCAGTGTTCAGCGATTTTACCGCTCGGCCGCTGGTGAGCTCACTACTACAGCCTTCGTCGTCATTTTCACTTTCAAAAACAGCATCATCTTCCGTACCGTCTAGTTCGTTTCTAATAAAATATTTTTTAAATGATTTTATAATCATTCAGAAGGTATTTCGCAGGCATTCGCATTTTTCAGGGGCAAAAACATAAAAATTTCCAAAAGTGTTCACAATTTTGGCCACCACTGTAGTTCGTCACATAATTTAAGTCATGAAATTACTTCAAATAAGTGACTTATTTGATAAGTCGTCCAATTCGAGTGCGGGAAGAAAACAACTGCATTATACAAAGAAATTTTTGAACTTCCGATTCTTTTAATTTTTTATGGCGCCGCGTATAAGTCGACCCTCCCACTTTTGAGTCTTTTTTTTTTTTTTTTTGTCCAAAATATCTCGACTTATACGCGGGTATATACGGTATTTTAAAAGAAATTGCTTCCAACTTTTTACAGCTGACTACATAATATAGCTGCTTTCTGAAATAGTCATCATAAAGTTTGTGTTTCCACAAATATTTTGATAATTTAATCCGCTTTCTGACAAAACTTTTCGTCATAATTCCACCTTGCGCGCACAGTTTAAAACATTCTATCGCATAATTTAATTCGATATTTAATATATAGCTTTTATAACACTTGGAAACTACTGTGAACCAAAAATTCTAAGAATTTCATGTTAAATTTTTATTTTATTTGGAGTCGAGTTTATAAAATGTATTTGATTAAAAAAAAGTTTTAATGTTTTCGTCTTTAAAATTTTTTAATAGTAAAATATTCATCAGATTTTAGGTGCAGTTAAAAAATAGGGCTCATACAAAGAATTCCATCAAATTTCAAGTATGTACCATAAGCCATTTTTAAAATATCGTGAGCGCAAGGTGGAAACGTGACGAATACTTTTGTCCCAAAGTGGATTAAATTACAAAAATATCTGTGGCAACACAAAATTTCTGGTTACTAGTTTCCAAAGCAGCTATATTATGTAGTCAGCTGTAAAAAGTTGGAATTAATTGATTTTAAAATAAATACGATACCCCAATTGTTGCAACAGTCACATATTCGAAGGGTGTCAAGGGGTTTAAGGTGTATGAGCCACCTTAAACAAAATACAAACATGCCTAGTATTTTCGCGTATTAAGCTGTTGAAAAATTATCATTCAAGACATCAAGCAAGAAATTTAGAACTAACTTTTCACAAAGACCAAAAATTGAAATTCATCCACTGGATCATAAATGTAACAATAATGTAACAAATATATATATAATATAAATGTAACAAATAATTGATAAATTTTAAATATTCCTATAAATGTAACAAAGAATTTTAAAAACGCTAAAACAAAAACTTTTCAAACAAGCAAAAACCCCATTTAAAAATTTAATGAAAACTAAAGAAAAATTAACATAACAGAAGAGGAATTCAAGCAACTTCAGTGCCACTTCATCGGAGGGGGGGGAAGAAAATTGAAATAAATTGAAATATCTCTTCCACCCAAATCCTTGCTTTTCTGTATCCAGAATTAGCCGATAAACTATTTTAATGTATTTTAATTATAACAGTTCACCCGAAAATTCTGACCCTTCCCCGAAGGAAGGTAAAAACAAAGTAAATTCTAATTAGAATCTTGTATCCTAAATAAAAAGAATTCTATTTTATTTAAATATCCCATTTCAGTAAAACTTATTCAGTAATATTTCAGTAAAACTAAGAATTTTAATTAGTCCAAAGGGATTTGAATCCCGAAGGACTATTAGTTTCGTTTTGGCATTTTGCGTCGGACGGATAAATGTCGGTTCACTTTTCAAACTGTTGCCACAAAATGTTAGAGTCCTGCATTATATTTGAAGAAATTAAATAATGAAAAATCTGCATAAATGTATGTATATTTCTCGTATTGTGATAAAACAACGGTACATAGAGTCATCGAATTTTGAATAACGTAATCCTCCAACGAATATGAGCATGTGGAAGACCCAATTTGAAATTTGAAATTTGTTTTATGATCGATTTCCTATTTTTTAAAACTTTGACGAATTTTTGATTAACAAACTCAAGGATTTCAAAGCGAGCAATGGCAACGTTGTGCAGAAAAAAAACATTTTTATCTCCAGCGCGTGAGTCTCTGTATCGGAAATTCTAAAGATATGCTCGTTTTAAAACTATTTTGCGATATTGCTGTTGCACTGGATCTTATGGTTTAAGTGCGAGGAACATGATATTTAATAAAGAAAGGTAACACACAAAATGTTAAAAAACGCCCCTTTGGACGTAATTTAAAATCTGAAACATTTCAGATTTTTTTTTTTTTTTTTTAATCTTTTTTTTATTTCTCCGTGAAATGAATGATTTCTTTATTATGGGCTCATACTGAAAATTCTTCAACTCTTTCTCCTCTTTCCAGGTAAAGATATGGTTTCAGAATCGGAGAATGAAATGGCGCAACTCCAAAGAACGGGAATTGTTATCCAGTGGAGGATCCAGGGAGCAGACTCTCCCCACCAAACACAACCCTAACCCTGACCTCAGTGACGTCGGATCCTACGTCACCAAAGACTCGGACTGCATTCGGGATGAAAACAATTTCAAAGACATGAAGATTACGCCATGCCACACGCCGGACAGCCAAGCCGATGACGACAGTGGGCACCATCATGTGCGGCACTGCGTGGACCGCGGGTCGGACGAAATGGACATCAAAGTGCTATAGACGCAAATGAGGGTCAACATGATTGGACCAGTACCTGAAAAATGTAACAGATCGGATGACCTAATCTTCGAAAGTGAGCCTAGCGTCGGCTATACCACTGACGAGGTGGACAGCATAGATATTCGCCGAGTTCTGAGTCTTGTGCTAGCATAATTTTCATTTCAAATTTTTGAAGAATGTTATTTAAGAAAAGAAAAAGAGATAAATTTCATAATAGTAATGTTCTTCAAATATTACCGAGAATTCCGCGATAATATGGACCTTTTCGGCCGACTGGAAATTTCGCTGTAATCGGTTGCTTATTTAAAGAACTGTTGAAAAGAAATCGTTATCAGCCAATTAAATTATTGCATGAATTTAAAATATTGCGCTTGAAAAAAACCTTCAAAGGTACAATTATGTAACTTGTTCAAGTTTCGTTAAGTTACGCAGGGAAATCTGCATAGTTTTCTAATTGCTTTTATCTTTAAAGCACATAATTTTTCTGATTATGATACTGATTACATTTCCGTTTGAAAATAACACTATACTTAAACTTCAAAGAGCGTTCAGACATTTTTGTAATGATTTTGAAAAGATTTATATATAAACAAACCTTAGAATTTCATTTTCTAATATGTTCCGTCTGATAGCCCATTTGTTGAACTATCATATTACATCTTGATTTCTGAGATAAAAGTCCTTTTCTTGAAACATCGAGGTTGATTTTATTCCACTCCTCCTACACAATCTTCCAGACTTCATCCGATGTTTTGGAATGACGCTTATAAAGAGCTTGTTTTAAAAGTTCCACATGCACAGTAATCCATAGGACACATAACAGGGGACTTGGGTGGGATGCATTTAAAGGGAATACCTTCGATTCCGGTTTCATTTCTCATTTTTTCAAAAATAGAGCAGTATGTTTAGAAGTATGGCTTGGAGCCTCATCCTGATAGAGCTTAACACAGTGAAGATTGTTTGGATAAAGAGATGAAATTTCTTATTTAAAAAAATCTGATGTGTACACCACATGACTTCCTTATACGGAATATTAAATTATACGCATTTTTTCTTGAATTTCATTTAAACTTATTGGATTGAATTAAATCTACTTCGCCGACAGCGCATAATCCACAATAGAATAAATGCATTCTTTAAAATTCACTCTAGTATTTGTTTACCATAGCGACACTCTGGCGCTAGATTCATTTAACAGTATTATATTTCGTTCATATTATAACTCAGAATGCACAAAATTTATATCATTTAAAGAATAGAATTATCTAATCGTTGCCACATGTTCTATTCAAATACTATAATAAAACTAGAATGATGTATAAAAGAAATTAAGAAAACAAAACAAAAAAGAAACCGTTTTTCACAGAAATACTTTGAAATTTCTGAAATATCCATTCTACTAAAATTACACACTCTCAAAAAAGCACAAGACTCAGGATACTGAAGTTTATGAAATGTCATTTGTAGAAAGTGAATTGAAAATTCTTAGCTTCGAAAAGACTGTTTGCAGATGCTCGTATGAAAATTAAAACAAGAAACTTGGTATCTATAAACTTCCTTAGGCCAAAGACTAAAGCATTTTATAGGAAGTTGTGTTTAAAGAAGATGCATTCAAATGTTGTAAATTGATTACGAACATCTATATAAAAACATTTTAAAGAGATGTTTTGACGTTCGATTAATGCCCGAGTGAATAAAAAAAGTGAATAAACACTACAAAAATTAACCGATTTATTGATACTGAATAGCAACAGAGATGCCATATTAATGTTACGTTTTTGTTATCATCAAGAAATAGCTTATTGGAGTTGAAAACCCAAAAAATGTATCTTGCTTGGCTTAAACGTAAAAAAAAAAAAAAAAAAAAAAAAAAAAAAAAAAAAAAAAAGAAAAAAAAAAAAAAAGAAACTGAAAATTTTTCAGATTTTAAATTACGTCCAAAGGGGCGTTTTTTTAACGTTTTGAGTGTTACCTTTATTTATTAAATATCATGTTCTTTGCACTTAAACCATAAAATTCAGTTCAAGAGCATATCGCAAAAATAATGTTAAATTAAGCATATCTTTAGAATTTCCGATATACACAGTCTCGCGAGCTCGAGATAAAAGTATTTTTTTTCTATATAACGTTGCCATTTCTCGTTTTTTAAAGCATTGAGTTTGTAAATCAAAAATTCGTTAAAGTTTTACAAAAATAAAAATCTATAATAAAACAAATTCCAAATTTGGGATTTCAGATGCCCATATTCGCCATATTCGCAGTAGGATTTCGTCATTCAAAATTCGATGGCTCTATGTACCATTGTTTTATCACAATGCGAGAAATAGACAATCATTTATGCAGATTTTTCATTATTTAATTTCTTCAAATATAATGCAGGACTCTAACATTTTGTGGCAACAGTTTGAAAAGTGAACCGACGTTTATGAGTCCGACGCAAAATGCCAAAACGAAAGCAATAGTCCTTCGGGACTGAAATCCCTTTGGACTAAAAAAATCTAAAGGTTATACAAAATGTTTTAACACTCGACAAAACCCGTTTTAAACTGCATAGATTTACTGGCGTTTTCGTTTATACTCTAGTATTTGTTAATGAAATAATGTGATTTCAAACTCCACTAGCATTGCACACTGTATTTTGTATCTTTGGTAACTGATATAATATTCTGTTACCATCAAAACTCATTTAGAAATTTGTAATTGTGTAGAGACATTGGGTATTTTTCGAACCAGGAGAGATAAAAAATATTCAACCGCCTTCGCCGGGAATCGAACCACGGACCTCTGGAATACCGACCCAGCGTGCAGAACCACTACACCTCGAAGGCATGCTAGGAAAGTGGGAGAAATACCTTATAATTGAGTTACTACAGTAATTTTGTCAGCCGTTAAAATTTTCGGTTAATCTTTGGATTGTGGTAACTTGGCGATTTTTTGGCGACAATTTGGCGAACAACAATGCTACAGCAACTTGCTAGTTTTTGTTTGGACGCCATTTTGTTTTCACGAAGTAAAGGCATGTTTTTTTTTTTTACTCAACATTTTTTTCGAACAATCTGGTAGCCGAATTACGCTTATGCTAGAACTTTTATGAAACAAAAGTGCTTAATCATGACGAAGATTAGGTGCAAAATTGGGAGAAAGTGCAGAATCGCAAACTGCTTGCCGCATTTTTAAGAACTGCACATACACGGTATCATCCATGTACACGTCGACCTATTTTCACTTAAAAAAACATCCCAGAATTGCACAAAAATGGCATTGCGCACACTCTTGACTATATCCATGTACACTTAAAGCTACTGCAGAAAGTAGTTAATATCACAAGTACCACTAGCTAATGTACGAATTGTAATAATTTAAGAATCGTACAATACGAACAATAATAATCTCATTAAAAATAGACAGAAGTGAAATTCTTAGCTTAGTCATTCAACTCTACTGTAACTGTATATCAGACAAATCCGCACACCTAACGAACATTTTTTATCATTATGCCATCTGACATCAACACTAAGAAGACACATTGATTTAACCCTTTCCGGTACGCTACCTTTTAAAGCCAGAGTTTTGATTTAAAATAAAAAAAGTAGGCAGTCTCATTAGGCCTAGAGAAGTACACAAGTAAAATTGTGTGAAGATAGCACTTATCGTTTTAATTCTGTGGGTGTGCCCAAAGTGCCCCACTGATTGAATAGAACTTCGAAAAGAGTGCTGAAATGAGCATTGTTGTCGATGAACCAAAGAATACGGACTCTCAGTTGTCCTAGATGATCGGTGAGCACGGTTTGGGTACACCTAGGGTTCGCCGTTTGATTTTAGGCAAGATTTCAAGGTAAAAATTTAAAACTAATATAGAATAAGGAGATTAGCATACAGACAAAAAATAACATAGAAATTTCTTTTCAAACAATTCCTTTTATACCTTAAAAAAAATCTGGAAGATTCTTTGAAAAATGAGGGTCTTAAAAAACTAAACATGGCTAAAATATATAGACTGGTTTGTGTTGAGCTGCCGTCTACTATAAATAAAGAAGGCTCAGAGTAACCTATAGTAACCTATAAATCCTTTTTCATTCAGTTTTTCTGTGCGTACAGAAGGAAAATTTTACCGGACACACTGTGCCGCAAAGGGTTAAATTGGATATTACTCGATCAGTTTATTGAACAAATATAGGTTCAGAAATGTTAAATATTAACATGATTTACAATCTCTTGTGGAAACAGTTCATGAGAGTTTTCATTCTGGTCCAGAATGACACAATATGGAATATTGTCCTTCAGAATCTACTGTCAAACGTCCTGTTACTGGACGTTTTGAAGCACGCGTTATACAACAAATACTACTGCACGTGTTATACAACAAATATAGGTTCAGAACTGTTAAATATTAACATGATTTACAATCTCTTGTGGAAACAGTTCATGAGAGTTTTCATTCTGGTCCAGAATGACACAATATGAAATATTGTCCTTCAGAATCTGCTGTCAAACGTCCTGTTACTGGACGTTTTTAGGCACGAGAAACGCAAGTTGTATTTCGTCAATCGGCCTAGTAGAAGGGGAGATACAGAACTGTCTTTTTCCCCCCTCACAGTGTGCAATATTTGCAAACACCACTTTAATTATCTTATGGTTTTAAACGCCAGTTATAATGCAACTTACATTTATTGGGTTTTCAAACTGGAAAGCTGCTGCACGTGTTATACAACAGCTTTTGTAAATCTGGATGCGACTTGACGTCATATTTTTGAAAAAGATTATGCGGCCTCTGTTATTATTGCTCAACTATCGTATGAACATTACCAAGTTCGAGAAGAATGCAGTATCTGCAGAACTGAGCTGCCGCTACTTAACATTATCAAAGAGGTTTTCTATGTTCCTAAAGGAGATCAAATCCTCCTTATTTATTGTCTACGAATGCAAACTTTTCACTTTGAACAAGACAAAAATTTGGATTATGAACACTTCTTGTACGGCGTGCAGCTGGGTATTATAAATATCATGTAAATAATGTACACACTAATGTTCCTACATTCATCATATGTGCTTAAAATAAATGCACTTTATGTGTGCCAAAAGCAGGTTCATGTGTTATTTACAAGCATGTAAATTTTAAAGAGAAAAAAAAAATTTTCTTTATTGTGCTGAAGATTGTCTATTAAATACTACATGTTTTCGCCAAAAATACCGAATGTGATTGATTCATTGATTATGCCTGTAAATTTAATTTTAATTAATAAATATTGTTTGATTGATATGTTTTACCTGACTATGAATCGGCTATATTTCATAACGTTATCACATCAAAACGTTACGCGAAAACATAACGTTATCACGTGAATGTTCATAACGTTATCACATGAAATTTTCAAAATTTGTTTATTCTATGACATATAGGTATTGATGCGAGCTTTAGTTTTAAAACTAAAGCTCGCATCAATACCTATATGAAATTCTGAGAGGTTTGCGAATTTTTAAAAATTCGCAAACCTCTCAGAATTTCAGTCTGAACGTTTTGGGACTGACTTCAGTACTTATTATCAAAACTTATAACTCAATTATCAAAATACTCAATTATCAAAATCTGTTTATTCTACGAGAGTTACATATCGATACAAGCTCTA